GCACTACTGCCCTCCCCACTTGCTGTTGTTTGGTTAAGGGCAGTGACGGGGGGAGGGAGGGGGAGCCAAGGATGGGGCCCATAAAAACTGTGTGGGCCTCGTGGTAGCTACGACCCTGGTTCCTGATGACCCCCTGTTCCCCAACGGGAAAATGCCATATGCTACTCACTGGTTCCGCTTTCTTATCCACACAAAACCTGCCAAGTGACCAACCTATTTAGATGTCGCCACCACAACCACTATTCAATCCACTGCTCTCAGTACAAGGTAGGTGAAAACAGCTCTACCCATTCAGCCAATACTTGTTAGAAGCGAAAAATTCCTACCTGGCCCCAATAGGTGATGAGCAACAGCCTACACTAAGAACAGGGCAGGACGGTGGGTGGGCGCACAGAGCAACTGCTCTGGGCAAGAGTGGAGCCCTGCCTTTTTGCAGGGCCAGTTCTGCCCCCTGCCCACATCACATCATGGTTCTGTTGCTGCCCCGGCTTCCTTCTAGCGGCCTTGCTGGGAGGCCGGGATCTCAATACTCATCCTTGGTACATCCTCACTTTAAAAAATTGGCATGGCCTTTCAGTATTCAAATCATTTATAGATTTAAAAGAAATAATAGATACAATTACTCATGTGCCTTTCAAACAGATGCTTATAGTTCAGTTTCATTACAAAATGTTATTTTCTGCAAAACATGAACCAACGGGAACCAAACATTAAAATATTTAAGAAGAGTCTTTTAGAAATATCCAAGAATTGGGTTTTTAAAAATTTAAACTTCAGTATTTCTTAGGAAATGATATGGAATACTTAAAATTTGATGTTGAGTTAATAATGCATTTGAAAACAGTAATGCATATTACTTTTTCGTCTTTATTTATTATATTTATAAAAGAGCATTTTGATTCCCAAATGCTTTGGCAAATGAGACACAGACTTCCTAAGAAGAGGACATATGCACAAAAATAATGCTGAAAATATACATGTAGACCCTTTCAGATAAAATGGTGATCATGCCAATGGAGAGGATAGTGTGTGACACATTCACCCCATATGTATGGCAAAGCATAATTGAAAAGGGCTATTTTCGGAAGCTGTTTCAGAAGATGTGGTGGGGAAAATAACACTTCTGTTATAGAAATGCTCAAATACATTTACAGCTCAGGCGGCAAGGAACAAGGGAGCCAAGAATCAATGGGAGTGGGTGGGCAAGGATTCTACCAAGTCCAGTGCTGTGACCAGTGTTCCCTCTAAGCTGAGTTCATTTATTTATTTATTTATTATTTGTATTTCTATCCCGCCTCCCCGTAGGCTCAGGGCGGCTTACAAGTCATATTACCAAATCATAACATAACATAAAACAATACATACATTAAGATTTTAAAAACCAGTTATAATCATAGAAAAATATATTCAGTACTCCTCGCATAAAAACCAAGATGGCTATCTCTTGAAATCTCATTCAAGTGCTCAACCTCCAGATTACCCTGTACCCAGATTCTAGTGCGTTGATGGTGCCATGGCGTTGGTGGTACCATGGCGGTGGCGGCTCCTATTCGAACGCCTGGCGGAAGAGCTCCATCTTGCAGGCTCTGCGGAACTGTGCTAGGTCCCGCAGAGCCCTGATCTCCTCTGGGAGCTCGTTCCACCAGATAGGAGCCGCCACTGAAAATGCCCTATTCCTGGTCACAACGCATTTAATAGCTCGGGGACCTGGTACATCCAGCAAGTTCTGCTTCCCCGACCGTAGTGCTCTTGGGGGAATATGTGGGGAAAGGCGGTCCCTTAGGTAGACTGGTGAGCTAGCTCACAGTTTTTTAGCCTCTGGCTCTCACAGTTTTGTCTTAGCTCAGGAAGGATGGCTCCAGAACAAACTAATTTATGCAGTAGCCAAATCACTCGCTCACAATTTTAGTGCCAGTAGATCACAAAGTAGAATTTTTGCTCACAAGACTCCAAAGCTTAGAGGAAGCATTGGCTGTGACTGAGTATGCAAGATAAATCATTTGGGGCAGATGTGTTGACTTGGAGCTGAACCAAGTTCAAAAAGCAACAGGCTACACAGGCTGCTTGGAATGCAGGCACAGTGTTAACTAAATCAGTTCCATTGTCAGGGCAGGCACATGAAGACTGTCCTCTACATGTGTGAATCCAGAACAAAAACTCCAGGGTAGGGATTGTTTGAGTCTAGGGCATACACATTTTCCAGTCTGACGCAATAAGTCTCCCAGGGAAGAAAAGAAGGTGGGGGGAAGATACTTAACCAGAAAGTAACTTTTAACGACCTAACCAAGATAATAGCAACAACAAAGTAGCAATTTACATATGGCAATCCAATAAAAACCATTCATATTTGCAGTCCAAGTGCTCAGTTGTGTTATTTTAAGCTAAGATCGAAAGTTATATTTAAACTGGTTTATGTTCCTCACACATAGCTAATCCAGAGAAACCAACCCTGAGAGCAGAGACAGGTGTTGTTGTTGTTCAGTCGCACAGTCGAGTCCGACTCTTCGCGACCCCATGGATCATCTCCCGCCAGGCCCTCCTGTCTTCCGCCGTCCTCTGAAGTTGGCTCAATTTCATGTTTGTTGCATCGATGACACTGTCTAACCATCTCATCCTTTGCCGTCCCCGTCTTCTTTGACCTTCAATCTTTCCCAGCATCAGGGTCTTCTCCAGTGAGTGCTCCCTTCTCATTTGGTGGCCAAAGTATTTGAGCTTCATTTTCATTATCTGGCCTTCCAGGGAACAGTCAGGGTTGATTTCTTTTAGGATTGACTGATTTGATCTTTTTGCAGTCCAAGGGACTCTCAAGAGTCTTCTCCAGCACCATAGTTCAAAAGAATCTATTCTTCGGCGCTCGGTCTTCCTTATAGTCCAACTCTCGCAGCCATACATGACTACTGGGAATACCATTGCTTTGACCATGCGGACTTTTGTTGGCAGGGTGATGTCTCTACTTTTTATCATGCTGTTTAGGTTCGCCATCGCTTTCCTCCCAAGGAGCAGGCGTCTTTTAATTTCATGGCTGCAGTCACAGTCTGCGGTGATCTGGGATCCCAGGAACGTGAAGTCTGTCACTACTTCCATGACTTCCCCTTCTATTTGCCAAGGAGTGATGGGGCCGGATGCCATGATCTTAGTTTTTTTGATGTTGAGCTTCAAGCCCACTTTTGCGCTCTCCTCTTTTACTCTGAGCAAGAGGCTCTTTAGGTCCTCTTCACTTTCTGCCATTAGAGTGGTATCGTCTGCATATCTGAGGTTGTTGATCTTTTCCCCAGCAATCTTAATTCCCGCTTGTGATTCATCCAGGCCAGCATTTCGCATGATGTACTCTGCATATATATTAAATAAGCAAGGTGACAATATACATCCTTGTCGTACTCCTTTTCCTATGCTAAACCAATCAGTTGTTCCATATCCAGTTCTAACTGTCGCTTCTTGGCCCTTATACAGGTTTCTCAAGAGACATGTGAGGTGGTCTGGTACTCCCATCTCTTTAAGGACCTGCCATAGTTTGTTGTGATCCACACAGTCAAAGGCTTTAGCATAGTCAATGAAGCAGAAGTAGATATTTTTCTGGTACTCTCTTGCTTTCTCCATAATCCAGCGAATGTTGGCAATTTGATCTCTAGTTCCTCTACCTCTTCGAAACCCAGCTTGTACTTCTGGTAGTTCTCTATCCACGTACTGTTGAAGCCTAGCTTGTAGGATCTTGAGCATGACCTTGCTAGCGTGTGATATGAGTGCAATTGTGCGATAGTTTGAACATTCCTTGGCATTGCCCTTCTTTGGGATTGGAATGTATACTGACCTTTTCCAATCCTGTGGCCACTGTTGCGTTTTCCAAATTTGCTGGCAAATTGAGTGCAGCACTTTAACAGCATCATCTTCTAAGACTTTGAATAGTTCAGCTGGAATACCATCACCTCCACTAGCTTTGTTGTTAGTAATGCTTTCTAAGGCCCATTTAACTTCACATTCCAGGATGTCTGGCTCGAGGTCAGTGATTATACCGTCGTGGTTGTCAAGGACATCGAGGTCTTTCTTGTATAGTTCTTCTGTGTATTCTTGCCATCTTTTCCTAATCTCTTCTGCTTCTGTTAGGTCCCTACCGTTTTTGTCCTTTATCATGGCCAGCTTTGCATGGAACGCTCCCTTGATTTCTCCAATTTTCTTGAAGAGATCTCTAGTCCTTCCCATTCTATTGTTTTCTTCTATTACTTTGCACTGTTCATTCAGGAAGGCCTCCTTATCTCTCCTTGCTGTTCTCTGGAAATCTGCGTTCAGTTGGGTAAATCTTTCCTTTTCGCCTTTGCCTTTCGCTTTCCTTCTTTCCTCTGCTATTTGTAAAGCCTCATCAGAAAGCCACTTTGCTTTCTTACATTTCTTTTTCTTTGGGATGGTGGTGATTGCTGCCTCCTGTACGATGTCACGAACCTGATGTGATCTAGGCCAAACCTGAATGGCCTAGTGTTTTTCCCAATTTTCTTCAGTTTAAGTCTGAATTTTGCAATGAGTAGCTCATGATCTGAACCACAGTCAGCTCCAGGTCTTGTTTTTACTCACTGGATAGAGACAGGTGTAGGCTTGCCCAAAAAGAGAATCAAGCAATGCAAAGAGATGAGCAGTAAAGGATTTCATTAAAGTAGGGAAGGAGTCCCTAGTCAGATGAGGGTGTCATGGGGGAGCTGTAAAGCTGGCCAGCTAAGAATGGGAAAGGGAGAAACCAAGAGATGGAGAGCAAATAGAAAGATGTGAAAGGTCAATTCAAGAAGCAGAATGGGAGACAGAAAAAGCATATATGCCATCTTGATGAGGAAGTCCAGTGATTTCAACAACTATAGAGATGGAAGAAGTTTCAGAACCAGAACCTACAAAAAAGAAGTGCTTGGTAAGAGCTTTTATGAATCTGGATTTATCTGGGTGTGTATGGTGGGTGCAGAACTAGGCCCCACAATGGCATTGGATCAAGATTTCAGAATCCAGCCACCCATTGATGAAACATGGGTTTTATGGTGAATAATGGAACTTTAGGATCCAAGACCACGTTGGTGAAAAAATCTGAATTGGAGCTATGTAGGTTTGTGTAGCACCAGATTTTATTATATGTGTAACAGTGTTTTATTGTACTAAATTTTTAAACTTGTTAGCCGCCCTGAGCCACTGGGTAGGGCGGCATAGAAATCTCAAAAATAAATAAATAAATAAATAAATATTATTGGCCAATTCAAACCTACTGTTAGGTGTGTGTGTGTGGGGGGGTTCTGATAAAGGGTATCTATGTACAATGGAGATGTTTCCAGTTGCAAGTAATTGAGTTAACTTGGATGGCACGCATGAGCTTGACTGAATTTCCAGAGAAGCAGATAGATGTAGATTCTGAGAGACTGTTGTCCTGCGAATTTGGGTCATTACTCATGGGCAAGCGTGAGGAGCTTTGAGGGCTACACCAGATAGTTTTGATTCATGTACTTCTGGAATTCTCAGACAGCCAAGCTACTGTCTTTTGAAAGCACCTGCTGAAATACATGTTTTAATCAATAGAACCTGACTTGATATCATACAGATGGGCTCATCCAGACCTCTGATTTTGCAAGACCAAAGAATCTTGGGGTGCACAAAGACATGCGTCTCAGTGGGGGCAACACTCATGGAGATTAGTTCACAAGTGAGTTGTTTATATGCAGCATCAGGAAAGTGAATTTGTTTCCCATCTAAATTGCTTCCAAATGAATGAAACCAGAAATCCTCCATTTGTTAAACTCAATCTGTTTTGTCGTGGAAACAAATGTGAATAACAACAAATGAATGGATACCATTTGTTTCATTCATTTCCCTGTGTTTTGCCTTTTAATTGCCTTTCATTGCCAAGGATGCTTTCTACTATCTGTCTGAAATTTATCATAGAGGATCTCTAGGATGACGGGTACAATACTAGAGAATTTAACGAAGTTGGATGAAGTGTTTCCCACTGAAACCAATCAAAAGAAAAACGAATATAATAACAAACACATATCATAATGGATAAGTGAATTAAGCTTTTGAAACAGAAGTGAGTACAAAAATGAAAATAAAATAAAAAGCTGACCATCCATAACACAGACCCAATGATTTTTTTTCACATTACTGCCAATTGCCGAACATAAGGACCTGAGTAAGGTTGTTAACAATAGAACCTTTTAGAGGTAATTAATTCATAAAGTTGCCTTAAACTGGAAGTGACTTGAAGGCCCTTAATGTATACACACATGCACAACCACCCTGACTTGACCACATGTATATCAATTGGAACATGATATTCATTTACTTTAATTCTGTGTTTGCAAGTGTGTGTGCATGCCTGCAACATAACTTGTTCATTTTGTCTTTAGTCATAATTATTAAAAAGGAATACATACAGTTCCAAATCCATACATCACGAGACCTTTAGACTTATTCTACAATAAAACAGAATGCATTATAAACATTGTCTTGTCTTCTTAGAAGACAAGACAATGTTTATAATGCAATCTGTTTTATTGTAGAGATGGAAAGAGTTGTTACTAAAGGTCTCGTGATGTATGGATTTGGAACTGTATGTATTCCTTTTTAATACTGTGAAATATTGTTAATTGGTATGTTGTTATGGCTGGATGGTTCCCCCTGTATTGAGTGGTATCTATTTTTGATAAGAGACCGTTGTGTGATAAAGGGAGTTCGAAACGAACGGTAGCTCTGGGGAAGTTCGTCCTTCATTAACCGTCTGTTGATGTCCTGCTGTGAAAAAGAATAAACATCATGAAGTGATTACACATCGTATCAACATCCTTCATTATATGCACTGTTGCAGTATTTGTTTTATGTACTGATATTGTTATACTGCTGCCCCTTGTACTTTTCTATTTAGTCATAATTAATCAGTGACCTTTCAGCTATGGTATGCAGGATTTTTTTTTTTAATTTAAGGAACTTCACGGCACAAAGACAGGTCCCAGAACATTGCCTGTTTTTTGACTTTCAGTACCATGGTTAATAACTGCAGGAGAGATTTTATTTAATGAACTGGCATGGAAGCAACAGGTTAACAACTCTGATCCAGGCCCATTTTGTTTGACCCTATGAGACATTCACAGCATAAGACTGTGAACTTAGAGTGTAGGGATGGGCACAAACTGACTCATGAACTAAAGTTTGTCATGAATTTTGGGCAACTTGTGGTTCACAAAGCCATGTTCATGAACTGAAGAGCTGCCACGAACTTCCACGGATGTTGATGCAGTTTGTGGCGGTTCACGAAGAGCAGAAAGCAGAGGTTTAAATGGCTTTGACACATTTAACCCCCTGCTTTCTGCTCTTCACAAAAACCAGCTCAGCTGTTTGGTTTTGGAGCCATTTAAACCCCTGCTTACTGCTGGCTTGGCATTATTTAAAGCCCTGCTTTCTGCTCCCCACCAGTTTTGGTGGGGAGCAGAAAGCAGAGGTTTAAATGGCTTCCAGGCAATGCTCCCTCTAAGCTGTGGAGTCTTGTGAGCAAACATTCTACTTAGTGAGCTACTGGCATTAAAGTTGTGAGTGAGAAGAAGGAGGAGGAGGAGGAGATTGGATTTAGACCCCACCCTTCACTTGGAGTCTCAGAGTGGCTTACAAGCTCCTTTCCCTTTCCCTCCCCACAACAGACACCCTGTGAGGTAGGTGGAGCTGAGAGAGCTCTGAGAGAACTGCCCTTTTAAGGACAGCTCTGACAGACCTAAGGCTTGCCCAAGGTCATCCAGCAGCTGCAAGTGGAGGAGTGGGGAATGAAACCCGGTTCTCCCAGATTAGAGTTTGTGCACTTAACCACTATACTAAACTGCATAAATTAGTCTGCTCTGGAGCCATCCTTCCTAAGCGAAGATTAAAATGTGTGAGTCAGAGGCTAATTCAGTTTAGACAGAACACTGTTTCCAGGCATTTTACCTCCTACTTTTTGCTCACTGCCAAAAGCCACAGCAAGCAGAAGCAGGGGGTGAAATGGCTGGGAGTTATTTCACCCCCTACTTTCTGCTCACCACAGTTTTTGGCAGTGAGCAGAAAGCAGGCAGTGAAATGGCTCAGAGCCATATAAACCTCTGCTTTCTGCTCCCTGCCAAAAGCAGCGAGGAGCAGAAAGCAGTGGTTTAAATGGTTCCAAGCCTTTAAAACCAAACAGCAGAGCATCCCTGCTTTCTGCTCCCCACCATTTTTTGCAGGGAGCAAAAAGCAGGGATTTAAACTTTAAATGGCTCACAAACAAATAAGGAGGGGGTTCAGGTCACGAACCAGTCTACTTGTTCATGGTTCAGTTCGTGCTTCAGCCATGAACTACAAACCAAACTGAATCTCAAAAATGTGGTTCATGGCCATCCCTATTAGAGTATATTACAGGAGGACATAATAACAGATAGCACTAGCTATACAAATCAGTGGTCTCACCTGCTAGAAGGCAACTTCATATGAATTGTTCTAAGTGTGAAAAACTTACTATAATAGGTTTGGAAACTTTTATTTTTTATTTTTCCTCTAAAAAGATTATAAGGACTCATTAAGGTTGGCTGTGGCCATTTCTGTGCCAGGATTTTATTGTTTCTCAGGCTAACACTTGGGGGGGGGTCACATAATCATATGCACAATGCACTTGTAGCCCCTCCTCCTCAAGTACTAGTTGCATGGTTTGGTAGTAGGGAATTGTCTGGGAGTTGTTTTAAAATTACTAATTTGTTTTGGATGCCCCTGTTCAAATATGAAAAAGCCCTGTTCTTGTGTAAACATACTTAGACAAATGCATATTTTAAAATTCATGATGTTTATAAAGTATGACCATTAAATGGAGTGCCAAATGGGATTACTATATATACACTGCTGCTAGGCACTTTCAGATCTCTTAGCAGAGAATACGTGCTGCATGCAGGTTAAAATTTCAGCTTTGGTATGCAGGGTTTATTAAACTTAATGTGATTTACAGTCCTTACAAAGCATATTCTCCTGAGTGAGATTTCTATTCCCCCAGAAGACAAACTGCTGCTAGAAGAATTTTTCTAACACCTCCACCAATATATTTTGTCATCTAAAACTAGCAATATTTATTTATTTATATGATCTATATCCCACGCTTTCCTGGGATACATATGTATTTTTAAATTATTTCTTTTTTCATTCTCCAGTATTAACCAGTTTATAGACGTTTCATAGATACTCCACAAAATATTTGTCATTATGATTTCTGAAGTGAATGTGGAGGGATGGTTTGTCTATCAGAAGACACACACAGTACCTACCCTACTCTCAGCTTTATCATCAGTGTCAGCATGAGGGGTGAAAGGCAGGTTTTGTTGTTCAGACACTTTTGTCATTCCTTTTCACAAGATGAGGTGCTGGGAGATCTGAATATCTGCTCCTCATAATTTTTACCGGTGCATAACAATTGCTCGTGTAAAAATAAGTTATTGTGAGTAGAAAAGCAAAAATTGGATCAAGAACAAACATTTCTCCCAGATGTTCTAACTTCATATTTGCATGGACCTTTTTTTACATGAGGACTTTTGAAAAAATGGCTTCCTGCCATCTGCTGTGTGGGATACTGTCCACTTATTCTCAGGGTTTTCCATCTCATTCTGCTGCATGTGTAGATCATTCCCGGGGAATACAACAGCTGTCCTGGCTGGTACCTCAAAAATGCAGTGATGACCACTAATTCCTGAGTAAGTGACATGCAGCAAAAGGGGTGGTTGTTGTATATAATATCTCAGTCTACCACATAAATCATGTTATAGAACAAATATACTGTACAAGACAGCCAACCAGAAGTTCACAGAAGGAGCATTTAGAGAAGATACTACACAAAACTTTCCCATTCTCCTCTGCATTTTAGATGAGGTAAGATATAAAAATAATGAGTTACCTCACCAGTATTGTAGCTAGTAAATTCTTCCTTCATGAAAAATACAATGCCCTTCTTTTTAAAGGAAACATACAGAAATGATAGTTTTGCAACATTCAAAATTGAATCATTTACAAGATACATTTTATTAAGTAAACTCAGAGAATTAACATGTGATGTTGCTTCTAATGTTTTACTTAGT